AACACACACACACACACACACACACACACACACACACACACACACACACACACACACACACACACACACACACACACACACACACACACACACACACACACACACACACACACACACACAGGCACACAAAGCCGTCCTCAAAGCAACATAAGCAGAGCTTATCCCTTCTTGGCTCTGATCTGGCACCTCTCATCCCTGTTCACCCTATGGGTCAAACGCACCCCCACCCACCCACCCACCCACACACCCACACACACACACCCACACACACACCCACACACCCCACACACACACACACACACACACACACACACACACACACACACACACACCTACACCTACACTTACACACTCACAACCACACACACACTCACTCACTCTTCATCAGGGCATTGGTTTCTTTGCCAACGTGTGGATCAATGACAGGTGGACAAGGTGCTGGGGGAGCAGGAGGTGCAGGCCTCTGATCTGGGTGTGGCCCTGGCAAGACTCAATGACCCTACAGGCCTCCAATCCAGGGACACAAGCAGGACATCAAGGCTCTTCAAGTGAACTGTAGACATTAATTACTCCACCACTAAATTGCCTATTTGTTCCAGATCAAGTTGAACAGAGACTTAAATATACTGTATAAAATGTAACTTCTCTGCATTAAAATGTTTAAAAACAACAAGACCTATGTTAGATATGAAATCTCTGATTTTTATCAACAAAACATTATCATCACATCAGATTGCACTGACATCTAAAGAGGCGCACTGTGGCATTTTGCGAAGTAACTGTGTCAGTCTAGTCTTTTCATAAATAAAGGAACTTGCTGGAGACCCAAATGACTTGGTTAGAGGTCAGTTAGCGTCTGACATTCATCTTTGCGTAACCAAAGAATTATTTTTTTTTCATGTCACAACTTGCGAACATTTGTTGGCTCTAGCGAGCAAATATGATGCACAATCCAGTGAAAAATCGAAGCTAGTAATAAGGCTAACTAATAAAACAAAGTAAGCTCCTGTATGTAGTCAGTAATGTGTGTGTGTGAGAGAGCATGTGCCCTGAATCATCAGTTGACCATATGAGTTAAAAGTACAGATGTCCTGACCCTGAAAAAGGTACATTAGCATATGAAATTCCTGCTGTTTACCACGGAATATGGCAAATGGTCTGTACTTGTAAAGCACTTTTCTTTCTGCCACTCAAAGTGCTTTTACACTACATCCCATTCACACACATTCATAAATTGATGGAACAGCCATCGGGAGCAATTTGGGGTTCAGTATCTTGCCCAAGGACACTTCGACATGTCAACTGGAGGAGCTGGGGGATCAATATTATCTGGTGTCTGGCATATATCAAAATATACAATGCACTAGATATATGACAGATGTGTTACATGTGTGAAAAATAATAATTTTGGATGACTGCAGTGTCCAGTATACATGTCACTCATACAAAACTATGTTATACAGGATTGAATTAAATAATAGGTATGATTTATCAGCCACACACAATCATGAAAAGAGAAATGAATGTAATAATTCAACCTACCTACAGACTTAATTGAAACAGCTCAGTGGATCAGTGGACTATGACCTGTATTTTACAGCTACACAATAACCTCATTGCAGCTACGACATGGAGGGGGGTCACAGAAGCACCTAGCTCATTAAATATATCAAAATATGCAATGCACTAGATATATGACAGATGTGTTACATGAGTGAAAAATAATAATTTTGGATGACTGCAGTGTCCAAAAAAGAGGCTCTGCACACATGTTTGTGATTCTTTGTAAGCATAACATCGTGATGTGTACTTTTTCAGTCCAAAACCGTCAGTCAACCACCTCTATCAGCTGTTGCCAAGTAAAATTTGCAGTACTAATTAAAAAGTAACGTGAGCTGATCTTACCATCTGACCATCCACCATCTTGCTAAAATCTGGGCTTTGGCTAGTTGCTAATTCTGCTCTCTTATTTCTTTGATACTGAACATTTTCCATCCATTCCCTTTGCACTTTTTAGCACAAAAAACAAAAACAGCTCCTAATGTGATCTCCTCATTAGCTCTCAGTGATTCTGGTTTGTTTCTACTCCCATGCGTGCATTTTGGTGTCTTAATGTTAATATTTGTTCATATAGTTTCACAGAAAGATTAGGAATATTTGAGAGTAGGTCATTTCAGATGAGATCGATATAATAATAATTAAAAGAAAACATGTCACGTGGTAGGCTACTAGTGGCAGATCAGTGGCAGAAGTTCACCAAAATCACAAAATTTCCTGTCAATTTCCTGTATCTGCATTGCTTAATGCCACTAGGGATAAGTATGAAAGTATGCTTTTTTAGCAATTTGGCTGACACTTTAAGAGCACCACAAAAACCACTTTGGCATGGCATGTGGTGCTGAGAGATGTTACTGCCAGGTCCTTATGTTTCAAATGGATGGTGAGGGCAGCGGTCAGTGAGTGTGGTTCATTAGTTTGCGACTGTGATTGGCTTGCAGGTATAAGGCTCTCCACTGAGTGACTTATGGCTGTAATTTAGCCTTGATTACATACACCATTACTTTAACTCTAATTAGACTGTCACTCAGGGGATGAAGGGTGCAGACAAACTTAGATGCAAGGTTGATGACAAACACGTTGATTTTAAAGATTAAAACGGAGAAGAAAATGGACGACATAGACTGGAGAAGTCGCAGACATCCAAACAATTATCAGAAGTGACAGCCATCGAAATATACATTGGTTGACGTTCAAGATTAAAAATATAAACATTTCCAAACCCTTCCAATTTCACACATTGTGATGCAGGACTGTATTAATCAGCTTGCTCTGGCCCTGTGTCGGATAATGAATTACTCCGGCCCTGACCCCAGGGTCACACTTTTATAGACGACCACTTCATCACGGAACAATCCGCCAGGCGACTGCAGACAAAAGACACACAACCTCACCTGATGACCTTGTCTCATGATCCATGGAGGGAGGTTGGAAAATAAAATAAACAGGGCATGAGAAGAAAGATATGGATTTATACACAGGCACTTTATTATGTCTGTGTATAGATTTGGCTCTGCCCCACTTCATAAATGTTTGTCACGTCATGGTGGAATAAAGGGATACTTTAGGGTGACTTTGGTGGTAAGTGTTATTGAGTAATAGGGGCCACAAAATGATTTTCTTATTTCAGGGTCAGTTGAGCACTGCATAGAGTTTTTTCAGGTCTGATACTTTAGAGTGTTATTTAATTACAAAGTCATCAGACTTTTAGGGGGGTATGTATTTACATCACTTGGTTCAGTAATCCCTCTGAAACTAAAGTAAATCAAAAAATACATAATTAGTTATGAAAACTCCACCATAAACAGAGCACATAGGCTACTGAGAGAAATCTTTATTTTGAAAAAGTGTGTTGTGATGTGCCTCGCCCGAGTGTAAAGGTGGTGATCGTTTTCTATTTAGCCCTGATGAAAACGTCAGAGTAATGGCATGCAAATGAATTTTCCGTTGCCATAAAGTATTTATAATGACACGCCTCACACATTATACTTAACGTTAATACAGTTTCCAACTTATCTGGCGATCGGCTGTTTTCTGTGTCTATAGCAAGTAGACAGCACAAATTACACAAAGTTTTATCTTGTCGAAAATGGACGGCAGATCTGTTTAGTCTCTCATTGCAGGACAATGCAGTGGTTTTATGGCACGGGTCACATCTGCTATGGGATAATGACAGGGGTAAGCCAAATGGAACATGAAGTATGTGCGCATTTGTGTGTGTGTGTGTGTGTGTGTGTGTGAGAGTATGTGCATGTTCTTGTGCACGTGTGGTTGGAAGGGGGATGTAATGAGTCTCCTATGAGCTATTATCCGTACCTTAGCTCTGCACTCTGCAATAATAAAAGCCAACATTGCAGAGCCCCCTAACAGGAGACTGCAACACAGCACGTGCCTCTGTGAACGCAAGTGATAAAGCATCCACTTATGAAGTAGAAAACCTCTACCTGGATCAAAAACATTAAATCAATAGAAAGCAGTCAGTCTTTTACAACATAACATTTTTGTCATTTCTTTAAGAATGAAACCATATTTTAGTTGCTGTTGGTTAAAGTGGTTGAAAATCTGATAGGAAATCAAGTGGAATCACTGCATCTCACACTGAAGATTTTGAGGTCATTTCTGACTGATGCCTAATTTGCATTCACACAGACTGTCCTTTGGGGTCAGGATCAGCCAACTATTGGCAGCTGCACTATGTAGTCTAATACTGTCTGACCACTAAGCCAATTATGTGATCAGTCTTAGTGCAGAGGGTCAGCTGAGTGTAATAACCCCAGTTCCAAATGGCACCAGTGACCCACACTTGTTTACCTACTGATGGATCCATTCCTGGATCCACTGATCAGAGCATTTCTAGGGGTACAAAAGGGTTTCTATGACTATTCATTGTAGAAGCAATGTTGTCAGGTGTGCTATTACATGGCACAAAGTTGCAGCTGATAGAACACAATATGTGCCAGAATCTGAATTAATCAATCATATTAGATGAGAATGATGAAGGCACACATGAGGTATGGGACCTCGTCTGCGCACTAGATCCATCGCATCCCAGGTCCCCCCAATAAATAATAGGCTACTGGATTTATATGTGCCTCAGGCCATGACCCTCCAATCTACGGTATCTAAGGAGAGAGAGGGAGAGAGGAAGCCAGAGAGAGAGAGAGAGAGAGATCCCTGAACACTCGAATCCCCGTGAGATGAGCCGTGGTGGAGAGACGCAGAGTAATCCTGTGGAGTGAAAAGAGAAAGATCCCCAGAGCAGCCCGGCGCGGATATTAGGGCTTTATTCATCGCCCCACGTTGCCAGGGTGGGTGAGTAAGTGGGCGCATATTCTGGATGTCACGCAAAAACTTGTTTTGCTGATTTACTAAAGCGGACTGGCTGGCTGGTTTGGGGTGGGGGGTGGGGGGGTGGGGGTCTCAATGCGCTCCGGACGCGCAACATGAAGGAGATGGAGAGCGGCGGAGCCACTGACAGACTCTCCAAGAGTTAGCAGTGCGTTAACGGCGGTAGAGTATGAAGGGATGTGAGCTGAACTTGTGGTAGAATGGCACCTTATCTCACATGGATCTCTGAGGGATGGCAGCTTTTCACCACCACCACCATCCGAGCGCGGACCTGCGGCGGCTCTTCCACCGGCTCACCATCGCCTCCTCTCTGAGCATCCTTTGCTTCTCCTTGGTCTATCTCCTCACCGGATGCTGCGAGTCGGAGCTGATAGAAAACTCTGAGATTAAGCCCCCGACGCGCGAGCTCCTGGTGTCAGGGTCAGGATGGCCACACGAGAGAAACGGAACCAGCCTTGCCAAGGAGGTTACCACCTCGGTCGGCGAGGGCGCGTTCAGCGGTCATCCCGGGCTGGATGCGAACAGCTCGGGGAAAGAATGGACAGCCACTCGGAGGTTACCCCAGGCGCTGATCATAGGGGTTAAAAAGGGAGGCACCAGAGCTCTGCTGGAGTTTCTGCGGCTACACCCGGACATCCGCGCCCTCGGATCGGAGCCGCACTTCTTCGATCGGCATTACGCACGAGGACTGGACTGGTACAGGTACGCACACATTACGCAGGGAATCCACTCAGTAAAGTCATTGAATCTTCCACCGAGTGTCTAAATGGTATTAATCTTTGTTTTTTCTTTCCTTTTATACAATTTATATACTACAGTTAAAGGATAACCTGTGTTATTATGGCTGAAGTATGCACTTCGCTCCAAAAAGCAAAGCAAGTCAGATGTTCTCACTCAATTGTTCCCAAAATGCAACTCAAGGCTACGCTGAAAAACTTGGTGACTGACTCTCCTTGTCATTTAAATGATGGACTTTCACTTGAGTCCAGCCTTTTGTGTAATTGTGCAAGTAGGACGTTTTAATATCATTGTAATCTAAGTCAGGGAGCCAAACAGGAGCCTCCAGCTTCTTCATGAAGAAATGAATCTCTTTGTGTTGTTTGCATACCCAAACATATCCACAGCTATTCCGCAGAGGTTTAGGTGACAGTCAAAGAGACTCTGCCATCTGGCTATGCCAGTCTGTGCATGTGTACATGTGTGTGGCTGCCTTGCTTGCTGTGTGTGCTTGTGCATGTGTGTGTAGGCCTACAGTAGGGAGAGAGAGAGAGAGAGAGAGAGAGAGAGAGAGAGAGATGCCTTGCAGGATGAGTTCACACAGAGCAGCAGAGTAATCATCTCTGGAGCCTGAGCCAGATGTTACTGTTGTCATGTGGCTTTGTTCTCAGCCTGTTCCATGAAAACTTGGAAATACTCTGAAAACACGCACACATGAATGAGATTCAGGGAAACCAGATTCAAGTCACTCAAGCTGCTTGAGGAACATTTGGGAAGATAAAGACAAGGTTTTCAACAGACACATGATTTCAGAATTCTGGCCTTCGTTCATTTTTTTGTAATTGTGCAGACTGGAAGTGCACGCACCTATAGAACTACAAACTGCTCCAGATTTGCCAGATTAAAAGTGCAGCCAAATCTGGACTATGTGGTGGGCTGTTAACCAGCTTACAGTATATTACTGGGGCTCAATAGTGGCATTGGCTCAGCGCTGGCAGCCTCTTTTGCACGTCAGCAACAATTTAACCTATGACAGAGATAAAGAGAAAGGATAAATTTCCGCTTCCTGGATGGTGTTCTTACATTGATGTGACTATGCACACAGACAGATGGAAAAAGACTACCGTGCTAAAGCTGTAGGATGTTGATAGAGCTGAAAATTTTTGAGAATCTGGAGTTAGTGGATAAACCATTGTAGACTCTCCTGTCTGCCAGCATGTGCAGCATGTCTGCTACATGTGTGTCACACCAGGTGATGTGAATGTGACACCAGATTGTCACGTCTTCCCCTCGGGCCAGATGGGGCTCGCTGCATGTTGAGCCACTTGACATCACTGTCAGCTCTGTCAATTGACCTCTGACTCCAGGTCACTTTACGCTGGGAGTTAATGATGTGTTCACTCCACTTCATAGCAAACAGCACACACCCAGAGTACACAGACTGACAAAGGAAATGTGTCATTGTTTTGGTTGCTCGGACAGACAAAGTCCAAATTCAAAGAAGTTTGAAATTCACATACTTTACATACTTTATCCAGTCTCAGCATATTTTCTTGTATCTTAGAATATAACACTGGTTTATTATAATTTGGGTGTTATTTTTGTATTTTTGTCATTTAACATTTGAAACCATGTTAAAATCCCATGTGAAATATGTAAATCATGTACTTTACACATGGGAAACGTAGTTTTGGAACATTTTGTGGTGTAATGCATAAAGCCTTGTAAATTTACATGTGAGACCTAAGGGATTACATGTGGAATACATAAGTTTTCCACATGTGCTCTACATGGTACCACATAGTACAACATGTCTTACCATGTTTCCGACATGAATAATAGAGGGTAAGCGCATGATGTCACAGAACGCATTTACACTCACTGAGTGGCAGAAAGACGAGCAGCAGTGTTAGCTTGAATCAGCTAAAACACAAACAACACCTCTAAAATGGGAAAAGAGCTGGACCACTGGTTCTTTGGTAAGCAGTTAGGATCACTGTTGAGTCTGACTGCCTTTAATTTGAGCAAATAATCACTTGTTTTACTCCCAGTTTGCTAAACGCAGCCATGGTAACAGATGTTTTGCCACTCAGTCCAGCGTGTTCCGGAAGGGGAAGTGACATCACCGCATACCCTCTATTGCATAAAAACACAAGCGGTCAGCTTGTTAACAGTTTAGCCAGATTACTAAACCACTTTATAGAGATGGAAAATAAAAAGTGACGCCCCCAAAATGTTGATATCATGTTGTACAGGAAAACCAAATATAAGATCAAAGTTGTACCAGAATGTCAGTCTGTAAATCGTGATGGGAGAATTTTGATACATTGCAACAACCTACTAGCTGAGCAAGCCCCAACGGTGTGTTACACCTGAGTTGAGGGCGTTCCAGTACAACAGATTTAATTCGGAAAACCAAGATTAAAGCCTCTGGACATTGTTAGCAATACCAGTTGATAACAACGCATTACGCTGTATTTAACACATACAAACAGCTTTGCAACAAGTCTACAGATATAAGTTGGACAGCACTGTGTATGACAGATTTAATGAGACACAAATAAGACACAAGGGCGATAAACAGTATATTGCTACAACTTTAACTACTGTTGATTCCGGGAGCAGCCATCTTGGATTTTAAATTAGGGGTTCTCCTGACTTTCTTAGTTGGAAATCCAACTTAAGGGAGCATTGCAGTCTTCCTCTAGACCACACTGAGTTGAGTTTTTCCTAAAAATGTCACTCTGGAAACATTTTAGTAGGGATTTATTAAAAAAAGACATTTGTTTTCTTTTAACTCCGGTAGCACTGAGCAGTGGCTTTTTCATTATCTGATGTTTCTCCAGACAGATATTCTGAAGGGAGTAGGTAGTAGTCTTTTGCTGGACGACCGACTCACATGTTAAAGAGATTAAGGGAAAATTCTGCAATAAAGAAATTGGAGAGAAGCTCATATCGACAGGATCTTTAAATGTGGTTTTACTTTTGACAAAGTCATGTTTGCTTGAGTTATCATGAAGGGTAATATACTTGCAAGGGAGGTTAGCCTGCCACAAGTTTTTATTTAGCTCATTTCTTCTAAAGTAGAATACTTTTGCAATGACAAAGCACTGTGCTGCTTTGTCAAAACAAACATGTAAAATAATAAAGACAAAACAAAAACAAACATACACTGCTGTACTGATTACCTTACAAGTACAGTAGGCAAGCTAGCAAGTTAACTAGCCTACTTGCTTTGGCTCTCTCTTGACCCTCACCAGTTTGGGGGTATAATTTGCCTTTGTCTTTTCTTCCAAATAATTTTAGCTACCCTGGGCTCTTGTGTAAAACCTGTGATTGCTTGTCTGCTTGTATACGTACATTGTCAGTATTACTGATATGAATTATGGCCAAAAAAGAAGAACAAAGGCAAGTTGTAATAAACCAAAATCATCCCTTAAAGCAAGAGTGCACTTGATAACTGATATCACAAAGCAAATGGAGGGCTAGCTGTAGCGCCCACTGAGTCAAAATTACATTTATGTGCAGATGCTTTTTTTTCTCTCAAACCCTATCATGGGCCATCAAAGAGGATCAGATATAATGTATCTTCCTCAGAATCACTCCTCCTCTATCTGAGAGTAAAATAACATTTAGCTTCACCAGGGCAATTGAGATCAGAGCCCATGACAAAGATCCACTAATGGTGTATGGAGCGGAGATTGGATCAGGAAAAATGCTGCGATGAGCTCCGAGATGGACTGGAAGTTTCCTCCTTACTGTGCTGTCTGGGATCGATAGCTCTATCTCCACGCTTTGACCTTGGGTTGACTCCAGCATTAGAGCGGTTAGCGTTGGTCAGCTCGGCTTCTGTTACAATTAGCAGGAAGCTTTATCCTACATTGGCATAATCCCCCTGCATAGGCACAGAGGGGTCATGTTACACACAGCCTTTTCTCTCTCTGTAGCTCTGGAAGAATCCATTAAAATTGCTCAGCTGGAAATTCACATCTCACTCGTGATGGTTTCTTGCTGAAATATGGCATGACAGGTGAATGGTGGAAAAAAAGGGGGAGATAAAATATAGGATGAAGAGATAAGGCTTGGGTGGGCTGGAGGTTAAAGGGTGAAGTCAGTGTTATAGCAACTTCACACATCTCCGCTGACCTTTGCTTCAACCAGAGGGGACTGTCATCAGAGCTGGGCTTGTATGTGTGGTGTGTGTGTGTGTGTGTGTGTGTGTGTGTGTTTGTGACTTCTCCAGGTTCTGTCACAATCTGGAGACCGTTCTGTCCTGGAGAAAGTAGGGCAGGTTGTATATTGTTCTTGAGGTACAGCACGATTTATCGATATATTATTGACTCTGAGTTACTGGCAGAGCCTTAACCTGATAGGTTGCATAGCCAGTGTTTCTGTTCATTTCCAAGAAGTCACAATAAAAAAAATTACAGAAAACAAAACAAACAAAGCAAATCATTTGTGTTTTGGTGTTTTGTAGGGCTATAGAATTCATAAAAATCACAACATGGCCTAGCCTACTGGAATTTTCAAATGGCAGGAGATGCAATAAAATTAATATTGAATTAAATATTGTTGTGCTGCAGAGATACCCTGGCCTACACATCATATTCTACAGACTTAAGAAAACATCTTTGTTTGCTACAGATCCTTTGAAAAATCACACCATAATCATTAAAATATGTTTTTCACTGAAATTCAGAATAATTGTGTAAAAAGGATCATTCCCTCCAATATCACTAAGGCAAAATAATTGCAATCAGCCCTAGTGTTTTGTGTAGTATTTTCTTTCAGTTTGAGGAAAAACTATTAATTTCAGCAACTTCCACAATATAGGACAAATATAGGGCAAGACAGAGCTATCATTACTCTAAACTTTGATATACTAGACATTAGACAGTAGATTTACGACAAAATAATGTCGTAATACTCCTTGCCTTAGGGAAATAACGTTAGGTTACTACTGTAGGTAGTAAGCTCATTAGTCA